AGTGTGGAAACCTCCGCCCTTTTCCATGACTGTTACATCTAGAGAGGGCAGCTTCCCATCCTTTTCCATCTCGTAAGTGAAACGCAGCACGGAACTCTGCTCAAATGCCTCCTTCAGCTCCTGCAGATGTCTGACATCAGGTACCTGTGTAAAAATGTCGTCAACATACCTGCAGTATATGGCCGGTTTCAAGTTCATGTCGACTAAGACTTTTTGCTCGATGGTACCCATATAGAAGTTTGCAAACAGGACACCGAGGGGAGAACCCATGGCGACCCCATCTACTTGCTTATACATGTGCCCATCCGGGCTCAAGAAGGGTGCCTCTTTAGTACAAGCTTGGAGTAGTTTCCTCAGAATATTTTCTGGTATGTCAAGAGGAGTACAGGCTGGATCACGATACACTCTGTCGGCTATCATTCCGATTGTCTCGTCCACAGGTACGTTGGTAAACAGCGATTCTACGTCCAACGAGGCTCTTATCCCTGTGGCCCGTGTGCCCCGCAGTAAGTCAACAAATTCCTTTGGAGACTTCAGGCTGAAGGCGCAAGGAACATAAGGAGTCAGCAGGCCGTTGAGTCGCTTCGCCAGTCTGTACGTGGGTGTGGGTATCTGGCTAATGATTGGCCGAAGTGGGTTTCCAGGCTTGTGGGTCTTGACATTAGTATATGTTTTTATTAAGGCCTGTCGGCCGTCTATCACTCCATCATAGGAGGATGTAATGTATGGGGGGGTTTGATAGGGCTGGTAAGAGCCCGACTTTGGTTAGAAGACACATAAAATGCTTTTTTTTGCTGAAGGAGGCATTTGAGCAGAGTTCCGTGCTGCGTTTCACTTACGAGATGGAAAAGGATGGGAAGCTGCCCTTTCTAGATGTAACAGTCATGGAAAAGGGCGGAGGTTTCCACACTGCAGTCTACACTAAGGAAACAAACATAGGAATGTGCCTAAATGCCAACAGCGACTGCCCCGACAGGTACAAGAGGAGTGTTGTTAACGCATATGTCGACTGTGCTCTCAGCCACAGCTCAGAATGGAAGCAAGTCGACGAAGAACTCTGTAGGGTAAGGCAGGTCCTAGTCAATAACGGCTTCTCCAATGGTTTCGTCGAAGACATCATAAGAAGGAAAGTGAAAAGCCATGCAACCTCTGAAGAGACAACTAACACAACACCTATACCCCCTATTAGACTATTTTACAGGAACTTCTTTTCCACAGCTCATAAAACGGAGGAAAGGGTCCTGAAAGATATTGTTAATAGAAACGTTATCCCTACAGACAAGAATCAGAGGATACAACTGACGATTTACTATAAAACCAGAAAAACGGCCAGCCTACTCATGAGAAACTCTCCAGACACAAAACAGAACGCTTTAAAAGAGACTAACGTCGTCTATGCCTTCAAATGCCCACTTGGGGACTGTAAGCTCCAAAAAACCCAGTATATAGGCAAGACAACAACATCTCTTTCTAGGCGTTTAACGATGCATAAGCAACAGGGCTCCATTAAGGAACATATAATCTCTTCCCACAACCAAACCATCGCCAGAGAAATCCTAGTAAACAACACAGAAATCATCGATAGATACAGCGATAGCAGGCGGCTTGACGTTTGCGAGGCACTACACATCAAGAAGTCAACACCAGCAATCAACAGTCAATTATTGCACAACTATATTCTACCCACCTCAAGACTCCGCTCCATTATAGAAGCATCAAGAAATATGGACCAATAGGCTTTCTACAAACACTTCTATTCAATACCCATTGTTTGTGTTCTGTCTTGTGTTGATACTTTTAATACCCTATTAATATCCCCTCTTGTTCTGTCTTGTGTTAATGCCACATCACCCCTCCCACCTCACTCAAATGTAGATATAAAATCGGAGATACGTAAGTTCTATTCAGTTGTGTATTTGTGAACTAAAGTCTTTGAAAATGTAATAAGTTTTACGAAACGCGCCCGTGTCGCGTCAGACTAGAAATAAAAATGAATTTTGGAGAATTAATTTTTGATTTACCTCCAACAGTGAAGCGTAATGTACGAAAGATTGAGAAAATTCGTGTTAGAATTATTAATCTTACTTTTTCGGTCATATTTAATAATATATGTCTACAGGAAAGACTGCTACCAAAATATACTAATATATATATATATATATATATATATATATATATATATATATATATATATATATATATATATATATATATATATATATATATATATATATATATGTATGTATATATAGTACTTTCCATCACAGTGTCATTTTTAGGGCACCACAATTACATTTATGTATTCCCACAATACATAACATAATGACCTCTGAGCCATATTCCCGTGTGGCTCAGAGGTCAGCAGCTCTGCGCTTGTTTCTGAACGGAATCATTTGTTTTTTTTATTCTTGTGTTTTATGTACAGCAATTACGGTGCTTACTTTATAACAGAATCTTTCGCACTTTATTATAAAATCTGTTTCTGTTTCTCTCTCTTTCTCTCTCTCTTTCTCTCTCTCTCTCTCTCTCTCTTCTCTCTCTCTCTCTCTCTCTCTCTCTCTCTCTCTCTCTCTCTCTCTCTCTCTCTCTCTCTCTCTCTCTCTCTCTCTCTCTCTCTCTCCTCACACACACAGAAGTCTTCAGCACTTTTCCCTTTAATTACATATACAAAACGGAATTTTAAATTGTTCTCATGTAATGTACTTACCCATTCAAAAAGCCTTTGACAAAGTACTAAATAGACTACTGGTAAATAACATGAGGTACTGTTGATGTCTTCCGTGTCTGAACAGTGCCATATCGTCAGAATAACTTGACAACTGTTAACATAGTTGCCAGTTTAATAAAGACCTCCAAGAAGCAGACGAGGAGTCACAATAACGTGGCTGAAATATGTTGACCAAACCACAATCAACTTGAGAATGGTCCAGGACGGACCGAAACGTCGTCGTCCCTTCACTTTCTAGTGTGTGGTCTGGTCAACAAACCTCCAAGAATCTTCTTGATAACTATTTTTAAACTTTGCGTGTAAACTAAACATATATTAACTTTACAACATATGTGAAAATGTTAGAAATAGTCAGGTAACTGCTCTTAATTACAGCAGCGACTTATAACTGGTTGCAGTGTTGTTAGCTGCACTAAGACGAGCTCATTTTGTCTTTCCTTCCCGTCAAAGCTCCATGTTTTTCACCTCGGCATTGAAGCTAATTCCTAATAATTTCCCTGTCGGCAGCATATAAGCCTGGCAGATTACGAGGGACCCTGTATCATCTCCTGTCCGAACTAGTAGGTTGCGTCATTAACGGTGAAGATAATCTCTCGACCGTCAGAGCAGTTACAGCCCCGCTCCTGTGCCAGGTAAGTCCATTACGGGCTCACCATAGCCAGTGCTACTTGACCCGTTCCTGTGCCGGGTAAATCCACTACAGGCTCACCGCAGCCTGTGCTACTTGCAACTTTTGTTCCGAGCGGCTGAATCTAAAACACCATCAACTGGAGCGTCCAGCAGATACCCAAGTCACGGACCAGAAGATCCTCCGGTGTCTCTCATGTGTCGTGCTATTGTGCCGGGCTCGGCGACCTTTATCTCTCCCCGGGCAGCGTCCGGTGGTGCTGCCGCCCCTCCCTCGCCTCGGCTGACACGGCCACACGCCGTGTCAGCTCCGCACTGCATGTGATGGGTCTTAGTTGACTACACCTTGCTCTCAATGTTGCATCTCTCTCTCTCTCTCTCTCTCTCTCTCTCTCTCTCTCTCTCTGTCAAACTTGAAACTTCGTTTCAAGTTAATGGGGTGTCTTTCCTTGATATGTATGGCTTTGTTGAATAGTTTATCTGGAGGCTGGTGCTATCTCGTATCGTTTGTGTGTGTGGTTGTGTTAGTGTGTGATTTAGTATGTGTGTGTGCGTGTGTATGACTGTATAAATATCAAGTTGGGAGGGAGTAGTTGGTGTGAGAGAGGAAAGTTTACTGGTCTCCCATTCTCCTACCCTCTTTAATGACACTTAAATCCATCTCTTTACAACCATTTGTTTTATTATTATTATTATTATTATTATTATTATTATTATTATTATTATTATTATTAACACATTTAGGTACGTCTGCATTTATGCAGCTACCCTAGACAATATGAAGGGGAGTACAGTGTGTCTAAAAGCTGGCTACCTACGTGGTGCTAAAATCCCCATCACACAGGATGGTTAGCCATACAGAGGCATGTGATAAGTAGTCTACATTGACACACTCTGGGTGCATTATGAGGGTATAATCAACACAAGAGTGAATAAGGTAACAGTGGAACTGAGTCTTCACCAACATCTCCGCGTCCAACCACTTGGGTTGGATGGTAGAGCGACGGTCTCGCTTCATGCAGGTCGGAGTTCAATCCCCAACCATCCAAGTGGTTGGGCACCTTCCTACCCCCCCTTCCCTGTGCTATATAGTCGTAATGGCTAGGCGCTTTCCCCTGATAGTTACCTTCCCCATCTCCACACATACTCTACGCGCCCTAAATCGCATGCTTGGTCCCCTAAACATTCACTCTCCACAAACATTCAAGTGAACTCCACGCGCCATTCACATACGTGTCCTCCCCAATTCCCTTCATCGAAATCTTAAAATTATCCACCTCAACCATTCCTACACATCAACACTCCCATGTATCCCACTTCTCAATGTTTCTCATCTGTCTTGCCCGCCACCAGTGAGGAGACAGCCCCATCAATCCCATTAACAGAAAGTTTACACCATCCATCAAAACGTTTGCAATCCCTAACATATCAACATAATAGATAAACCAAAAAGGCATTTAAATCGTATCATATCACTCCAACATGAACGTCAAATTTAAGCCCGAAATTTCCGTGATATATTGGGGGGAAAGTTTTACATAAATTCGCTTCTAATTAAACTGTTTACTAGTAAGTGAGTTGACAAGCCCTGGGAGTGAGATATTAGCTAGTTCAATGCTAGTGTCTCGTGGGACAAGCACATCACATGGTGGTGGAACAAGCACAACATGAGGTCGTGGGACAAGCACATCACATGTTGGTGGAACAAGCACAACATGAGGTCGTGGGACAAGCACATCACATGGTCGTGAAACAAGCACAACATGAGGTCGTGGGACAAGCACATCACATGGTCGTGGAACAAGCACAACATGAGGTCGTGGGACAAGCACATCACATGGTCGTGGAACAAGCACAACATGAGGTCGTGGGACAAGCACATCACATAGTCGTAGAACAAGCACAACATGAGGTCGTGGGACAAGCACATCACATGTTGGTGGAACAAGCACAACATGAGGTCGTGGGACAAGCACATCACATGTTGGTGGAACAAGCACAACATGAGGTCGTGGGACAAGCACATCACATGGTCGTGGAACAAGCACAACATGAGGTCGTGGGACAAGCACATCATATGTTGGTGGAACAAGCACAACATGAGGTCGTGGGACAAGCACATCACATGGTCGTGGAACAAGCACAACATGAGGTCGTGGGACAAGCACATCACATGGTCGTGGAACAAGCTCAACATGAGGTCGTGGGACAAGCACATCACATGTTGGTGGAACAAGCACAACATGAGGTCGTGGGACAAGCACATCACATGGTGGTGGAACAAGCACAACATGAGGTCGTGGGCCAAGCACATCACATGTTGGTGGAACAAGCACAACATGAGGTCGTGGGACAAGCACATCACATGGTGGTGGAACAAGCACAACATGAGGTCGTGGGACAAGCACATCACATGTTGGTGGAACAAGCACAACATGAGGTCGTGGGACAAGCACATCACATGGTGGTGGAACAAGCACAACATGAGGTCGTGGGACAAGCACATCACATGGTCGTGGAACAAGCACAACATGAGGTCGTGGGACAAGCACATCACATGGTCGTGGAACAAGCACAACATGAGGTCGTGTTGACATCACTCTGTCACCTGTGGTCATGTGATACTAGATCATCTAAATTATATTTTCTATCAACTCTTAAATGCCTGAAATATCCGGAAATAAAATCATGACGTTTACCAAATAAAAAACAGTCGGGTTGTACGTATTTGTACGTGCATGGGTGAGTGTGTAAAACTCTCATATTTCTTTTTTAAACTGTGAATAGAACTGACGGATAGACCTTCACTAGTGCTCCAGGGATGGCTTAGAGTCGCTCACCTTTCACCTACAGATTGTGACGTCATATCTGTAGTCTCTGCCTCCAAACACCGTTTTGTTCTTGCTCCTGTCAAAGGTCTATATCAGGGGCCAGATATATAGACTGTTTCCGGTGAAAGATTTGTGGGGAACCGACATTTTTGGCATCTGTCGCTTCGCTGTATTTTTTTGGGGGGCGGGACGACTTATATTTTTGTGGCATATAGACCCTATATTTTGTAACCTAGTCGACACCTCCCGTGGATGACTTCTGTCGATTGGACGACTTCTTTTATTGGGACGAACCCTGTCACCTAGTCGACTCTTGTCACCTATACGTACGATTCTTGTCACCGGGATGATTACTGTCACCTTAACGATTCTTGTCACCTGGGACGACTCCTGTCACCAGGGACGACTCCTGTCACCAGGGACGACTCCTGTCACCAGGGACGACTCCTGTCACCAGGGACGACTCCTGTCACCTGGGACGACTCCTGTCACCTGGGACAACTCCTGTCACCAGGGACGACTTCTGTCACCAGGGACGACTCCTGTCACCAGGGACGACTCCTGTCACCTGGGACGACTCCTGTCACCAGGGATGACTCCTGTCACCAGGGACGACTCCTGTCACCAGGGATGACTCCTGTCACCAGGGATGACTCCTGTCACCTGGGACGACTCCTGTCACCAGGGATGACTCCTGTCACCTGGGACGACTCCTGTCACCTGGGACGACTCCTGTCACCAGGGATGACTCCTGTCACCAGGGACGACTCCTGTCACCAGGGATGACTCCTGTCACCAGGGATGACTCCTGTCACCAGGGATGACTCCTGTCACCTGGGACGACTCCTGTCACCAGGGATGACTCCTGTCACCTGGGACGACTCCTGTCACCTGGGACGACTCCTGTCACCAGGGATGACTCCTGTCACCAGGGATGACTCCTGTCACGAGGGATGACTCCTGTCACCAGGGACGACTCCTGTCACCAGGGATGACTCCTGTCACCTGGGACGACTCCTGTCACCAGGGACGACTCCTGTCACCTGGGACGACTCCTGTCCCCAGGGACGACTCCTGTCACCAGGGACGACTCCTGTCACCAGGGACGACTCCTGTCACCAGGGATGACTCCTGTCACCAGGGACGACTCCTGTCACCAGGGATGACTCCTGTCACCTGGGACGACTCCTGTCACCAGGGATGACTCCTGTCACCTGGGACGACTCCTGTCACCAGGGACGACTCCTGTCACATGGGACGACTCCTGTCACCAGGGACGACTCGTGTCACCAGGGATGACTCCTGTCACCTGGGACGATTCCTGTCACCAGGGATGACTCCTGTCACCAGGGACGACTCCTGTCACCAGGGATGACTCCTGTCACCAGGGATGACTCCTGTCACCTGGGACGACTCCTGTCACCAGGGACGACTCCTGTCACCATGGACGACTCCTGTCACCAGGGATGACTCCTGTCACTTGGGACGACTCCTGTCACTTGGGACGACTCCTGTCACCAGGGACGACTCCTGTCACCAGGGATGACTCCTGTCACCAGGGACGACTCCTGTCACCAGGGATGACTCCTGTCACCAGGGATGACTCCTTTCACCTGGGACGACTCCTGTCACCTGGGACGACTCCTGTCTCCTGGGACGACTCCTGTCACCAGGGATGACTCCTGTCACCAGGGATGACTCCTGTCACCTGGGACGACTCCTGTCACCAGGGATGACTCCTGTCACCTGGGACGACTCCTGTCACCTGGGACGACTCCTGTCACCAGGGATGACTCCTGTCACGACTCCTGTCACCAGGGATGACTCCTATCACCAGGGACGACTCCTGTCACCAGGGATGACTCCTGTCACCTGGGATGACTCCTGTCACCTGGGACGACTCCTGTCACCAGGGACGACTCCTGTCACCAGGGACGACTCCTGTCACCTGGGACGACTCCTATCACCAGGGACGACTCCTGTCACCAGGGACGACTCCTGTCACCAGGGACGACTCCTGTCACCAGGGACGACTCCTGTCACTTGGGACATATTATCTCATAAAATATTCATGTCTTCATGTCGATTTATCTCTCGTGAGGATAATCTTTTCCACACTTTATTCCTTGCTTGTGCTGTTGTTGCTGTTGTTGTTGTTTTTGCTGTTGCTGCTGTTGGTGGTACTGTTGCTGCTGTTGTTATTGCTGTTCCTGCTGTTGGTGGTACTGTTGCTGCTGTTGTTATTGCTGTTGCTGTTGTTGGTGGTACTGTTGGTGATACTGTTGCTGCTGTTGTTACTGCTGTTGCTGTTGTTGATGGTGCTGTTGGTGGTACTGTTGCTGCTGTTGTTACTGCTGTTGTTGTTGTTGTTGCTGCTGTCTGAAAACTTTCGTGCTTAAATCTAGAATTTTTTATTAAATTTTAAATATTGTAATATATCGGTGCCAAACCTTTTCGCTTTTCTTTTTTATTGTCCCATTTGTTATCATTCAATCGAATGAGATTTGCTTAAACAAATGAAAAAACATTATGGAAGGGGCGTTTGATGTTTTACATTAAGAGGATTAATTGTAATTAAAAAAATCACAGTTAAAGAATATTACTTTCAAAACAGGGTCTAACAAAAAGTTTAATTATCATTAATGAAACATTTATTTTCGGTATAAATAAACGTTATGTTATGAAGAGAAGAACTGAACATTTAAAGTACTGCTAGATCCATTCTCGGGTCTACATTATGCCTATGTCACTTATATATATATATATATATATATATATATATATATATATATATATATATATATATATATATATTTTTAGGGGTACCACCTCTGGTGCAATGGCAGGGACCCACATCCTCAAAGAAGAAAACAAAGAGCATTCAGAGAAGATCTTGTGGATTCTCACTGAATACTTTATTCTTTTCCTCTCCTACCACCCCTATTATTTTTTGTATGTTTTGTTATATATATATAAATATATATGTCGTACCTAGTAGCCAGAACTCACTTCTGAGCCTACTATGCAAGGCCCGATTTGCCTAATAAGCCAAGTTTTCATAAATTAATTGCTTTTCGACTACCTAACCTACCTAACCTAACCTAACCTAACTTTTTCGGCTACCTAACCTAACCTAACCTATAAAGATAGGTTAGTTTAGGTTAGGTAGGGTTGGTTAGGTTTGGTCATATATCTACGTTAATTTTAACTCCAATAAAAAAAAATTGACCTCATACATAATGAAATGGGTAGCTTTATCATTTCATAAGAAAAAAATTAGAGAAAATATATTAATTCAGGAAAACTTGGCTTATTAGGCAAATCGGGCCTTGCATAGTCGGCTGAGAAGTGCGTTCTGGCTACTAGGTACGACATATATATATATATATATATATATATATATATATATATATATATATATATATATATATATATATATATATATATATATATATATAATATGGGCAGTGTCAGACCACGGAGGAAAATTGAAACAGGAATTCTTGTTTCAATTTTCCTACGTGGTCTGACACTGTCACATTTTTAATCACGTGTTTATCTTTCGTGATTTACACACACACACTCACACATATATATATATATTTATTTATTTTTTTTTTTATTTATATAATATTATATAATATGTATATATGTGTGTGTGTGTTTCTACGTTTTACATGTTGAAAATGTGTCCATCCGGTCAGACTATCAGCAGTAAGACTGGATAAGAGAAGCAGATAGAGGGAGACACCACGTCCGTAACATAATTGTTTAAATGTAAACATTTTCTCGGTTTAGATGATTACATTAAATTAATAGAATTTTTTTACGTTGTAGAGTAGATGTTTAACATAACTGAATCACAATAATTGAACCACTGTGATTTAGATTCTTGTCATCTATTGTACAGCTGCATTTTTGTTTGTATAATTTTCGATTATAATGCTTTGCAATAAACTTTTTTTTTGGTTTTGCAATTTTTTCTTTCGTTTATTTAAACGAAAGCAACAAAATTTAAAACGTAAAACGTAAAAACGTTTTATTTCTTTATTTCTTATTTGTATATAATTTGATTTTATTATTTCGTCACTTTGTACAAATATGTCTTGCTGATTCAAGTTATTTTTATTTTACCATAATACGATCATCATTAACTTACAAAAACTGAGCTAAAGGAACTCTTGCCAGTGCTTTCGCGGTAATACCTTGAGAAGTTTGGCCATTTTACGTCCATAGGTTGTAACCCATTACGGGTTTATTCCTAAGCTGCGTGCGTGCAGTGCTCCAAGTTTGGCCGTAAGGTTGGTGATTGTCCTGGCTGTAAGCGTGGAAGATGTGGCAGTTCTGCCGCTGGAAGAGCAGGTACGACCCGCGTTGTCTAGTGGGCAAACAGGACATGCCTTCTTGAGCTCCAGCCTATCTCGTGTATTGCTGGAGTTGGTATGGGAATTACCACAATGGTACCATCAGGTTTTCCATTATGCCTGGTGTTCCAGCTGCCAGTACGACCACCATAGATGTCGTGACTCCGGTTGTTAGTGTATTTTTCAAATTATATTTGGCTCATTAGTGCAGTGTTACAGGTCTTATTGTTGCATAGTTCAGTGTTGTGTTTTTACATTTACATTGGACAAGTATATGAGTGGGATTGGGTGGTTATAAATAGGAGCTGCCTCGTATGGGCCAATAGGCCTTCTGCAGTTACCTTTGTTCTTATGTTCTTATGTTTGGGTTGTCGTCGCTGCTACCACACCTGCCACCATCACTGCCACACCACTACTGACGCACCACCACCTGTCATCACACTCATCAACACTATCATCACCTCTCACCATTTTACCAACACCTTTCATTAGCATCA